CCATTATGAAAGTTTCCATCTGATGAGACTATTTAAAAAATTGATTCGTTTTTAAGTTAATGCTTAGTTATTATAGCAACTTATGGTACTGAGTGAAACTACCTCTATCGTGGTTTATTTATGTCCTATACTAAATTTATTATGATTGATCTATAAACAGAGGTATTGAAGTATTTGTTATTCACTAAATCTATATTCTTAATATTTATCATGAACTGATTTAGCGCCATACGTAACATTCATATGAAAGTATTGATCTGACGGGGCTATTTAAGAACACGGCTCGTCTTTTAGGTTAATATTTTGGCTAAACGCTATCACTGCTTTCTTTCCAATTCCATTGATGTAACAAATATTGAACGATGGTATTTGTTTATTTACCAATATTTACCTACATGTATATCATTCAGTTTGCAAATTTGGGGAAAGAAGGTATTTTATTTTATTATTCTGCGTATGTACAACTGCTTCCATGATTCAACGGTATATGTGTGTGTATGTGTGTTCGTGTGTGTGTAGCTAGTGTAATACAAGTAGATCCAAACGTCAGCAAATTTTAATGCCTGCCATCGTTAGTAAAACTGTGATCATAGTAGAAGATTAATATTATAAAAAAAAATCTTAATGAAAAAGACTGATTGTAGTGTAAAAATATAAAATATGATATTTGAGCCAAATTAATGCCCAAGAAAAATTAAAACTTCTCATTTCAACGTACATACATACAGATATGAATAGACATTCAGTGATAAGCCAGCATCAAAACGTATATATATATATATATATATATATATATATATATATATATATATATATATATATATATATATATATATATATATATATATATATATATATATATATATATATATATATATATATATATATATTTTCAAAAAAATTGATACGTAAGTCGCTTTTCACTTTTCCCTCTTGTAATAATAACTGAATGTTGAATGAAAGAAAAAGAAAAGAGACAAAGAAGGCTAGAAAATATGATAACAAATTAAAATGCAAAAAATACTTAAAAAAAAACGTATGAACAAAGAGATACAGAAAGGATAAAATTAATAAAGGAAGGAAGAAAGAAAGAAAGAAAGAAAGAAAGGAAGGAAGGAAGGAAGAAAGAAAGAAAGAAAGAAAGAAAGAAAAAAGGAAGGAAGGCAGAAAGAAATAAGGAAGAAAGAAAGAAAGAAAGAAAGAAAGAAAGAAAGAAAGAATGAAAGAAAGAAAGAAAGAAAGAAAGGAAGGAAGGAAGGAAGAAAAAGAAAAAAGAAAGAAGGAAAAAAAAGAAAAAAAAAAAGGAAGGCAGAAAGAAATAAGGAAGAAAGAAAGAAAGAAAGAAAGAAAGGAGGAAGGAAGAAAGAAAAGAAATAAATAAGGAAGGAAGGAAGGAAGGAAGGAAGAAAGAAAGAAAGAAAGAAATAAGGAAGAAAGAAAGAAAGAAAAAAAAAAGAAAGAAAGAAAGAAAGAAAGAAAGAAAGAAAGAAAGAAAGAAAGAAATAAGGAAGGAAGGAAGAAAGAAAGAAAGAAAGGAAAGAAAGAAAGAAAGAAAGAAAGAAAGGAGGAAGGAAGAAAGAAAGAAATAAGGAAGAAAGAAAGAAAGAAAGAAAGAAAGAAAGAAAGAAAGAAAGAAAGAAAGAAAAAAGGAAGGAAGGCAGAAAGAAATAAGGAAGAACGAAAGAAAGAAAGAAAGAAAGGAGGGAAGGAAGAAAGAAAGAAAGAAAGAAAGAAAGAAATAAGGAAGGAAGGAAGGAAGGAAGGAAGGAAAGGAAGGAAGAAAGAAAGAAAGAAAGAAAGAAATAAGGAAGGAAGGAAGAAAGAAAGAAAGAAAGAAATCCAGAAAGAAAGAAAGAAAGAAAAAAAAAGAAGGAAGGCAGAAAGAAATAAGAAAGAAAAAATTAAGAAAGAAAGAAAGAAAGGAAGGAAGAAAGAAAGAAAGAAAGAAAGAAATAAGGAAGGAAGGAAGAAAGAAAGAAAGAAATAAGGAAGGAAGGCAGAAAGAAAGAAAGAAAGAAAAAGAAAGAAAGAAAGAAAGAAAGAAAGAAAGAAAAAAGGAAGGAAGGCAGAAAGAAATAAGGAAGAAAGAAAAAAAGAAAGAAAGAAAGGAGGGAAGGAAGAAAGAAAGAAAGAAATAAGGAAGGAAGGCAGAAAGAAAGAAAGAAAGAAAAAGAAAAAAAAAAAAAAAGAAAAAAGAAAGAAAAAGAAAGAAAAAAAAGGAAGGAAGGCAGAAAGAAATAAGGAAGAAAGAAAGAAAGAAAGAAAGAAAGAAAGGAGGGAAGGAAGAAAGAAAGAAATAAGGAAGGAAGAAAGGAAGAAAGAAAGAAAGAAATAAGGAAGGAAGGCAGAAAGAAAGGAATAAGGAAGGAAGAAAGGAAGAAAGAAAGAAAGAAATAAGGAAGGAAGGAAGGCATGAAATGATAGAGTAAGGTTTAGAGAGGCTAAAGAAAGCAAAAAATTGATGAAGAACGTACTTTTTTGACGGAAAAATAATAGTCATAACGATTCTTATATTTTTCTTGAGTAATTTTTTACATTCACCAATATGATGTTTGATTGTTTTTTATTTTCATGCAATTTACGTTTTTTTTGTTTTTTTTCTGTATTTTATCTACCTTGGACTTTGATACCTAGTTGTGTTTTATGGTTGTTTTCAACACTTCAGTTTCATTCTTAATGTTCATCCTACGTGGCTATGTCAATGTCAATTTATCTGCCATTACCACGGTTTGTCATCTGAAGTTTCTATATAATTGTTTTACTTCACATTTCCGAAATTCTCATATTTCTATTTCCTGGTTCATCCATGTGTTAGTTTTAAAACAGATACTAACTAAATTTATTATTATTATTATTATTATTATTATTATTTGTAGTAGTAGCAGCAGTAGTAGTAGAAGTAGTAATAGAACTGGATATCTTGTATTCTAGGATTAGATGTTTTCTTTATCAAGTCGAACCAACCTTATAAACAAAGCACCTTTTGCAGAATATTATACTATACTAGGCTTAATTTCGGCTTTCTCCATCCAGTACATTTATTTTGGTGGTATAGACCCCAATGCCCTAATAATAACTGGGAAAATAGTGTCCTGAACAACGCACATTCTGACAACTTCAATCCGGAGGTCGATATATATTTTTAATTTTGTCAACTTCTTTCAACTTCTTAATAATAATAATAATAATAATAATAATAATAATAATAATAATAATAATGGTATTAATAATAATAATAATAATAATAATGGTATTAATAATAATAATAATAATAATAATAATAATAATGGTATTAAAAACTGAATTGAATTCTCAGAACAGAATTATGGCCATTAATAACCTTGCCATCCCAGTGGTCCAATATAGTTTCAACATCTTGAACTGGACTCTAAATGACATCAGACAAATGGATTTTAAAACAAGAAAGCTTCTTTCTAAGTATAAGATGCATCATCCAAAGGCTGATGTAGACCGTCTATACATACCCCGTAAAGAAGGTGGAAGAGGTCTTATTCAGCTAGAATTGTCATACAAGACAACAACTATTGGCTTACTAACTTACATGGAAACAACAAATGACTGGATGATAAAATTAGTGAAACAACATGAAAACAGAAAGAAAAAAATATTCAATAATAAAAAGAAGGCAGTAAATACAAACAACATTTACATTTAGTAGATTCTGTAGTAAATCAAAACAGAAGCCAAGAACCAACTATTGCAGCAAAAGATATGAAAAAGAAAGCCAAGGATAAAGCCCTTGAACAGATGAAACAACGCTGGCAAGACAAACCTCTGCATGGCCAATATCCAGAACGTGCAAATAAACCCAATGTTGATAAAGTTAATACTCATCGATGGTTACGAGCATCTGGATTAAAGTCTGAAACTGAAGGCTTTATTCTTGCAGCGCAAGACCAGAGTCTTTTCACTAGGAATTTTCAGGCAAATATCATACATAATAATGTGGATCCAAAATGCAGGTTCTGTGACAAATACCAAGAAACAATAGACCATCTAATCTCAGGATGTTCTATACTTGCCCCCAAATGAATATAAAAATCGTCACGATAGAGTGGGGCAATACTTACACTGGACAATGTGCAAACACTTTGGAAAATGTGTAAGCAAACACTGGTATGAACATCGGCCAGCGCCGGTTACAGAAATAGAAGATGTCACCATTCTATGGGATTATACCATCCACACAGACAGAAAAATTGAAGCAAATAGGCCGGACATCATTGTCAAAAACCAGAAAGAAAAAACTTGCCTACTAATTGATATGGCTTGTCCAGCGGATTGTAACATAGCAACCAAGGAATTTGAAAAACTATCAAAATACAAAGACCTGGAAATTGAAATAGAAAAAATGTGGAAATTGAAAACAAGAATAATACCAGTGGTAATAGGTGCACTTGGAATTATAAAAATGGAACAAAACAACACATTGAAAGAATCCCTGAAACCCCAGCTTAAGAGACATACAGAAAAAATGTCTTATTAAGTACAGCACACACACTAAGGAGAACTTTGTCTATGTAACGCTAGCAACTTCATCGGAGATAAAAAAAAAAAAAAAAAAATTAACATGAAATGTGGCCATAACAACACACCACGACCTGCCTTAGGTCTTTCCGCAGACTTAGTAGGTAGTGTGTCCATAGCAGAAATCGAATGATGATGATGATGATAATAATAATAATAATACAACACACATTGTACAATGGTGCATTTTCTAATTTTGGGCTTTGACAACGTCATCATCATTCATCATTAAAATAATAATAATAATAATAATAATAATAATAATAACATGTTCGATCTGGGGCTGGAACACATTTTCTAATTTTGTCAAGGTCTTTGCATTTCCTAATTTTGTCAACGTTTGACAACGTCATCATCATCATCAACATCATCATTATTAATAATAATAATAATAATAATAATAATAATAATAATAACTTGTACAATAGGGGCTGGACAACACACATTCTGACATGTTCGATCTGGAGGCTAGTGCATTTCCTAATTTTGTCAAGGTCTTTGACAACGTCATCATCATCATCATCAACATCATCATTAATAATAATAATAATAATAATAATAATAATAATAATAATAATAATAACTTGTACAATAGGGCTGGACAACACACATTCTGACATGTTCGATCTGGAGGCTGGTGCATTTCCTAATTTTGTCAAGGTCTTTGACAACGTCATCATCATCATCATCAACATCATCATCAATCATTAATAATAATAATAATAATAATAATAATAATAATAATAATAATAACTTGTACAATAGGGGCTGGACAACACACATTCTGACATGTTCGATCTGGAGGCTGGTGCATTTCCTAATTTTGTCAAGTTCTTTGACAACGTCATCATCATCATCATCAACATCATCATTAATAATAATAATAATAATAATAATAATAATAATAATAATAACTTGTACAATAGGGCTGGACAACACACATTCTGACATGTTCGATCTGGAGGCTGGTGCATTTCTAATTTTGTCAAGGTTCTTTGACAACGTCATCATCATCATCATCAACATCATCATAATAATAATAATAATAATAATAATAATAATAATAATAATAATAATAATAATAATTGTACAATAGGGGCAACACACACATTCTGACATGTTCGGACAACACACATTCTGACATGTTCGATCTGAGGCTAGTGCATTTCACATTCTGATTTTGATCAAGGTCTTTGACAACGTCATCATCAACATCATCATCATCATCATTAACATAATAATAATAATAATAATAATAATAATAATAATAATAATAATAATAACTTGTACAATAGGGGCTGGACAACACACATTCTGACATGTTCGATCTGGAGGTTGGTGCATTTCCTAATTTTGTCAAGGTCTTTGACAACGTCATCATCATCATCATCATCAACATCATAATAATAATAATAATAATAATAATAATAATAATAATAATAATTGTACAATAGGGCTGGACAACACACATTCTGACATGTTCGATCTGGAGGCTAGTGCATTTCCTAATTTTGTCAAGGTCTTTGACAACGTCATCATCATCATCATCAACATCATCATCATTAATAATAATAATAATAATAATAATAATAATAATAATAATAATAACTTGTACAATAGGGGCTGGACACAACACATTCTGACATGTTCGATCTGGAGGCTGGTGCATTTCCTAATTTTGTCAAGGTCTTTGACAACGTCATCATCATCATCATCAACATCATCATAATAATAATAATAATAATAATAATAATAATAATAATAACTTGTACAATAGGGCTGGACAACACACATTCTGACATGTTCGATCTGGAGGCTAGTGCATTTCCCTAATTTTGTCAAGGTCTTTGACAACGTCATCATCATCATCATCAACATCATCATTAATAATAATAATAATAATAATAATAATAATAATAATAATAATAATAACTTGTACAATAGGGGCTGGACAACACACATTCTGACATGTTCGATCTGGAGGCTAGTGCATTTCCTAATTTTGTCAAGGTCTTTGACAACGTCATCATCATCATCATCAACATCATCATTAATAATAATAATAATAATAATAATAATAATAATAATAATAATAATAACTTGTACAATAGGGGCTGGACAACACACATTCTGACATGTTCGATCTGGAGGCTGGTGCATTTCCTACTTTTGTCAAGGTCTTTGACAACGTCATCATCATCATCATCATCATCATCATCAATAATAATAATAATAATAATAATAATAATAATAATAATAATAATAATAACTTGTACAATAGGGGCTGGACAACACACATTCTGACATGTTCGATCTGGAGGCTGGTGCATTTCCTAATTTTGTCAAGGTCTTTGACAACGTCATCATCATCATCATCATCAACATCATCATTAATAATAATAATAATAATAATAATAATAATAATAATAATAATAATAATAACTTGTACAATAGGGGCTGGACAACACATTCTGACATGTTCGATCTGGAGGCTAGTGCATTTCTAATTTTGTCAAGGTCTTTGACAACGTCATCATCATCATCATCAACATCATCATTAATAATAATAATAATAATAATAATAATAATAATAATAATATAATAACTTGTACAATAGGGGCTGGACAACACACATTCTGACATGTTCGATCTGGAGGCTGGTGCATTTCCTAATTTTGTCAAGGTCTTTGAAACGTCATCATCATCATCATCATCATCATCATCATTAATAATAATAATAATAATAATAATAATAATAATAATAATAATAATAATTTGTACAATAGGGGCTGGACAACACACATTCTGACATGTTCGATCTGGAGGCTAGTGCATTTCTAATTTTGTCAAGGTCTTTGACAACGTCATCATCATCATCATCAACATCATCACATCATCATAATAATAATAATAATAATAATAATAATAATAATAATAATAACTTGTACAATA